CCCTGGGACCCCTCAGAGCCAGCCCAGGGACCCCCTGGGACCCCTCAGAACCAGTCCAGGGACCCTCTGGAACCCCTCAGATCCATCCCAGGGACCCCCTGGGACCCCTCAGAGCCAGCCCAGGGACCCCCTGGGACCCCTCAGACCGAGCCCAGGGACCCCCTGAAACCCCTCACATCCATCCCAGAGACCCCCTGGGACCCCTCAGATCCAGCCCAGGGATCCCTGACCTCAACCAGGACCCCCTGGGACCCCTCAGATCCAGCCCAAGTACCCCCGAGCCCCCCGCTTTCCCCCACTGTCCTTTACCCCCAGCTCTCCCATCCCTTTCCCATCCCTGGATCCCTGTCCTGTGTCCCAGGGCTGCCACTCCCCATCCGTGGGTCCTTGTCCCCATGTCCCCCTGTCCCCCCCAGTCCACCCAGTGTCCCCAGAACCCCGAGGTGTGGCTGTGAGCCTGGAGCAGCCCCTGACCCCTCTCTCCTGGCGCAGGGGGACATCGGGGGCCCCCTGGTCTGCAAGGACAACGTTGGTGACTACCGTTGGTGACTACTTCTGGCTGGTGGGACTGGCCAGCTGGGGCCGAGGCTGCTCCGGTGACAAACGGCCCGGCGTGTTCACGTCCACCCAGCACTTCCACACCTGGATCCAGGTCCAGATCGGATTGGTTCCCCCGATCACCGCGGCCCCACCACCAAAGCCAAAGCCACCGATCCCCACCTTTGTGGAAGAGCTGCACGAACTGGAACCTGAACCACACCTGGAAATAGAAACGGAAGTGGAACTAGAACCGGTGCCGATCCCGGTCCCCATACCGGAACCAGAACCGATACCAGAGCCAGAAAATGTAGCAGCACCAGAACCAGAGCCAGAATCGGACATGTTTATAACAATTTCATTCCCAAAAAACATCCTGCTGAGGTTCTTCAAGAACCTTCAGGAGTTCCTGGAGTTCCTGAGGGACAAAATGGATTGAGCAGATCCGGTTCTGGATTCGGGACATCACAACCATTCCTTGTTTGGAGCCGTGGCTGTGCCAAAGCCACCCCGGTGCCCAGGGCTGCTCTGTCCCGCTCATTGTCCTCCCCTCCACCCACCCTGGTGATGTTCTTGAAATAGAGTTGTTCCCAATTTTTCATTTTCAGTCCTGTTTGGTCTCCTGTGGCAGCAAGGATGGGACAATCTGGGGGAAAAGGGTGGGGTTGGCTCCTGGTTTGGGGGAGATGAGGGAGGGATGGAGGGGAGGACCAGCTTGGGTGTGGCTGATGGTTCTCCACCATCTCCAGCACCTTCTGATGAACCTCTAGGATGGTTTAGATGGGGCAGGGTCAAAACTGCTGCTGGGGCAGGACCACCCACCCTGAGGGGTCATCCCTGCTCATGGGCCACCAGGAGCTCAGTGCTCCAGCAGAAGGACACCCCGGAAATCTCCTAAACTCACGGGGTTCCATCAGCCCACGGCGAAACTCCCCGCCCTGAGGCGTTCCTACCCTCATTTCAGGGGATGTCCTCTTGGGGTTTGGGGATTTGGGACACAGCCACCACCGCCGGACATCTGGACAAGGACCAGAGCAGCGGGAGCAGTTCAACGGCGCTGCCCACGCTGCTGGGCCGGACTGTGCCACCCACGGGGCTGTGCTCTGGTTTTGTGGTTGGAAGCTGAATTTTCTGAATTCCTGGCATTTATTGGGTCCTTTCCACATTTATTGGATCCTTCCCACATTTATTGGGTCCTTTCCACATTTATTGGATCCTTCCCACATTTATTGGGTCCTTCCCACATTTATTGGATCCTTTCCACATTTATTGGATCCTTCCCACATTTATTGGATCCTTTCCACATTTATTGGATCCTTTCCACATTTATTGGATCCTTCCCGCATTTATTGGGTCCTTCCCACATTTATTGGGTCCTTTCCATATTTATTGGATCCTTCCCACATTTATTGGATCCTTCCCACATTTATTGGATCCTTTCCACATTTATTGGGTCCTTTCCATATTTATTGGATCCTTCCCACATTTATTGGATCCTTCCCACATTTATTGGGTCCTTCCCGCATTTATTGGATCCTTTAGAGGGGCTAATTTAATTAAAAACAAGCTTTGTTAATGCTAATTAAAACAAATAAAAAATTATAAAGCTAATTAAAATAAATTAAAATTGCTAAAATTAAGGGTAGATAGGTTAAATTATTAACCTCTAATTTGCTAAAATTAGAGGTTAATAATTGGCTAATAATTAATTGTCAGATTTCTACTCGTTCAGCTGGGCTCGTAATGAGAAACAGAGAATCTGGCGAGGAACTTGAAGAAGATAAATATAAATATATAATATTTATATTATAAGATAACTATAAGATATTATATATATATTATATTATATATAAGATATTATATATATAATATATTATATATTATATATAATATATTATATATTATATATTATATATTATATAATATAAGATATATAATATAAGATATATAATATAAGATATATAATATAAGATATATATAATATCTTATAGTTATCTTATAATATAAATATTATATATTTATATTTATCTTCTTCAAGTTCCTCGCCAGATTC